GATTCTATCCTTGAATCCCCAGTTCCTGTTGCAACTACCAAAAAATAAAAAATAAATTAAAAAAATCTTCACCCATCTGAAATGGGCTGGAGACTTCCTACCTCACTTCTGAAGACATTCCTAAGGAGCAGAGAAAATGCCTCTCCTGCTGTTAGCAGTGGCTCCAAGTCTTGTCCCCACAGGGAATGGCCACCAGGACAAAAGCTGTAACTTGTCCTAGTCCACTGTCTGCCCTCCCCTCATCAAATCTGTCCACCTGTCTTTTCACGCCAATCCTCCACTTGAAACCTCTTACCCTATATAACAGTGACAGAGCATTGGAAAGAGACCCAGACTGCCAAGTTCAAGTCCTGGCTGGAATACTTTTTAGTAAGTGACGTCCAGGGATGCACTCAGCTGTCCTGTGCCTCAGTTTTCCTCATCTGACATATGAGAGATGATTCTAGTAGCACCCATCTGATAGGGGTGAAAATTTTAATCAAATTACAAACCAGGTATTTGGGTGAGGGTCAACCCTGCAGGAAGCACTTGGTAAACATAGTTATCAGCACCTGAAGCACAGAGATCCCTGCACAGAGGGACAGGGCCCGAATAGACCAGGTCACAGTCGGGCGAAGGTTGGGGGTGTGCACTGCCAGCAAGGCAGGCCCCTCAGTGCCCATGACCTGCATCTCTGCCAGAACTCAGCCTGTCAAACAGCCTTGCACCAACAGGTTTCTCTACTCTACAGGCTCCCACAGGTCCCAGCTACCTCGTCCCTCTGTTCCGGCAGCAAAAGTATACAAAACTCATCAGACCCTGTAAGTACACGGCTTTCCTCCATGCCATTCAAGGCACATTATGATCTTTTGGGAGCCTGTGGAAGGTTCCAAATGAGTAAATCATCTCATTGGAATGGATGGCAAAAATGAGGAACTATCACTTCATCTCACTGGGAACTGATATAAAACTGCAGCGTTCTTGTTGTGTACAAATAAGAATGTATACGATCACGTGCACATCTATTCTGAGTCAGAAAATGTGATCATCATGCACTCTTCACTCCTCTTTCTTCCCCTTCTTTCTACAATGTTATGTGGCCCTACCATTCTATTTGGGGAAGTCAATAGTAACGGGGCTGGAGATGGCTCCAAGCGTTAGGGTATGCTTTGCATATGGTAGCCCCAGGTCCCCTCCTTGACATCACATGGTCCATTAAGCACTGCTGTGAGTGACCCCTGAGCACCAAACTGGGAGTAACTGCCAGCACTACAGGACGTGGCTAAACAAAGAAGTCAACAATAGGGGCTGGAGCAATCGCACAGCGGGTAGGGTGTTTGCCTTGCATGTGGCTGACCTGGGTTCGATTCCCAGCATCCCATATGGGCCCCCGAGTACCACCAGGAGTAATTCCGAATGCATGAACCAGGAGTAACCACTGTGCACTGCCAGGTGTGACCCAAAAACCAAACCAAAAACAACAACAACAACAAAAACCAACATATAAACATGATGAAAAAAATTTTTAATTGTACAAAAAGGTATACAGAGATAAACCTGTATGAACACTTCCATTCCACTTCCCTGGCAGCAACCAGTGTTAAAGATTTCTTAAATGTCCTCTCATAAGTATTTAATGCAATAAGAAGCATATAAAAAATGTAGGTAATGTCCATCATTCTTACATACAGTATGGAAGCAAGGTCCTGAGGGCTCAGGGCTCAAAGTGCCTGCCTTGAACATGAGTTTGACTCACACATGTAGCTCTGCTGGCAGAGGAATGCAAGCCATTGCAACTAAAGTGGCATGAATCAGGGCAAACACCAGGACCAAAGACGTTTGAGCACTGTAGCCTACAGTGCAACCCCATGAGCACTACAAAAACGTGTAGGAGCTCCACAACCAAGCACATGGAATCATCAGTCATCACAACACAGCAAAAAATCAAAGGGAAAAGAGGATACAACTCTTAAAAAGGGGGGGGGGGAAGGGGCTGGAGCCATAGCACAGCTGGTAGGGCGTTTGCCTTGCACGCAGCCAACATGGCCAACCCGGGTTCGATCCCCAGCATCCCATATGGTCCCCCGAGCACCGCCAGGAGTAATTCCTGAGTGCATGAGCCAGAAGTAACCCCTGAGCATCGCCGGGTGTGACCCAAAAAGCAAAAAAAAAAAGGGGGGGGAAGGCATCATCCCATGCAAACCTGTAGTTCCTTTTTAAAAAAAATGCCATAGCAGTTAACATTCTTTATCTAATTCTGCCAGCCTCATCATTAGCAGCTGCATAAATGTTCCATAATTTAATCAATGTCTTACTAAGAGATATTTAAGTTGTACCCAGTTTTATCTACTGTAAAACAATACTGCCATGTGTATGTCCTATATACATATCTTCATATATGGCTATATCTTCAGGATAAGTCCCTAGAATTCAAATTGCTAGAATAATGCAATTTTTATTTTTTATGGTATGTGTGTGTGCATGTGTGTGTGAGAAAAAGAGAGAGAGAGAGAGAGAGAGAGAGAGAGAGAGAGAGAGATTTCTCTCCTGCGTAGAGATTTCAGCAAGAAGTCAATAACGCACTTTTTGTTTTGTTTTTTGGGTCACACCCGGCAATGCTCAGGGGTTACTCCTGGCTCTGCGCTCAGGAATTGCCCCTGCTGGTGCTCAGGGGACCATATGGGATGCTGGGAATTGAAACCGGGTCGGCCGTGTGCAAGGCAAACGCCCTACCCGCTGTGCTCTTGCTCCAGCCCCAATAACGCACTTTGAAATTCTGACACACACTGTCAACCTTCAGAAAAATTATTAACATGATGCCTACATACCTGCTAGGAATGAATGGATGGGTTTATAAAAGTTCCTGTAAACCCCTTGAAACTATGAAAAATGTGAAACATGTGTTTACTTTTTTGGAGAGAGGGTCATGGCTTTAATCTATCTCAAAGGAACCTGTGACTCTTAGCGTGTCTGAGTACCAGTGAGTCAACAGGCCCTTGTGGAGCATCAGAGATAGCAAGAGCAGAAACTTAAGTTTCAGGAGCCTAGAAAATGCCTCCTTGAATCCCCTGCAAAGAAAAAAGAGGTAAATACTTGGCTGATAAAACCAATACTTAGATCTATTAAGGACCTCTTAGCGGGGGGGGGGGGGGGGGGGGGGGGGGCGGGGGGGTTGAATTATACAGAAACCCCAAGTCTTTGTTTCTCCTCCTCACTGGGTCCCTTCATTGCTGGTAATAATTCCATATTACCCTTGGCAGGAAGGAAGGGAAGAGCTTTTAACCCCAGGAATGAATCCACAGAGACTAGGTGGTATGTCCTTTTGATGGCTTGACAAAGGTCCCCTTATAGGTCTCTGGCTGCTCATAACGTGTTTGTTATATCTAGGCCTAAGGGGTTAATGATATTTGATGATAGTGGGGAAGAGAGTTGATGGAGTAATCTAAAAAGTAATTAGTCTGCCCTTTACAAAGTAATTAGTTGGTCTTTGGCAGCAATTTAACCCTAACTGCAAACACCACTTTCTTGGTTTTGTCCAGACCAAGAGCAGTATTGCAATTTACTGACCTCAAACCTCTTGAACCCTTGCAAAACAATTCTTTGAAGGTGGTGTTTTAGGTTTCCATAGCAAAAGCTTTCAGTCTCGTCAAACACAACCCAACGCTAACAACTTAACTCCCAACAAAACTAAAAAGCCTAGAAACCCTAAAATCCCAGAACAATTAAGCAAAATATGATAACACATTTTCAATTGAGTTTTAAAGCAAATTTTAAAAACTCTTATTTTATGGTTGTTTTCTTTCTGGGCTGCACAGGGCAGTGTTGAAGACAGCTGAGTTATTGACCCAGATTCAACTAAAAAACCTTTAGTTGAAACTCCAGTTGGTCTCGGGGGGTCAAGCTCTGTGAACCTACGAGGTTCAATCTGATATTTGCTCGAGCAGGCCCAGTAACATCTCCATTGGAGACTTCGTTGTTACAGGAGGAACCCCTGAACATCACTGGCTGTGACCCATAAAAACAAAATAAATAAATTTAAACGTCTAGGAGGAAAATTCACAAACACCCTTGATCCAGAAGCCTATGCCTGTGTGAACATCCCCAAAACAAAAGGCATCTGTCCTCAGCTTAATGTAGGGGATCTAGCTTTGGCCAGAGAGGGAACTAGGAAGAAAGCAGGTTTAGGCTAGCTTGGGTCACCAATTTCTCATTGCTCTCCTCTTTGTCCTGTTTGCTTTATTACCTCACAAAAGATCCACAGTAGTATTGCAATAGAAGAAGGAGGCAGAGGATCCTAGAATTGAGAGGCAGGTGAGACAGTGAATTTGGTGATAGGGCCATTTTTTCCAAAACTCCAGGCTGGAGAAACCTGACACCCACCTACCCACGTTTAATTAAAAAATAAATAAAATAATAATTATAATAATTATAATAAAGTGAGCCCCTCTGGAGCCACAAGGCTCAAAATAAAATGAAAATCCGCATAGAACACTTGAATCAGCCGTTCTGGGCGGACGACTAGAAACAGCTTCGTAGGCTGCCAAGTCAAAGGCATGTTGAAAGAAAGGGCGAGCCCGGCAACAGAATCCGGGATCTCCTTCCTAATAACAGATTCCACGTGTCGGGCACGGTGCCCAGGGGCGAGAGAGGAGGCTGGATAGCAAGAGACAAGAGTTTCTTACAAAAAGAGCCAAGAAAGAAAAGTAAAGTCAAGACTTTACTTTTGTGTTAGACGGGGTCGGCTGCAGGTGACGCTAACTCCGTCGCTACTTTTGCCCTAACCCAGCGCCGGGCTTGTTCCGTGATTGACTCGGGCGCGGGGCACTGCCCTGGGCTCCGGGGAGCGGCTCTGGCAGGCATCCCTCCCGGCGCACTGGGACCGCGTTGCCCCCCTCTCGGCCCGGAGGGGGCGGGGAGGAGGGCAGGGAGACTTGGCCGGCCCAAGGCCAGCCCAGCGCCGCTGCCCAACAGCCTCACCCCTGCCCTGTGCATCCAAGACCCCCAGCCCCGGGCCCACCTACCGCGCGTGCAAGACCCGTCTGCGCTCCGCTGCGGCCGCCGAGTCACACCCTAGTCGGGGCGGGCAGCGGGTCTTATCCCCAGCGGACCCGCCCAGCTGAAGGGTGGAGACTGAGCCCGAGTTCCTGGACCGACCGCTGCCCACGGGACCGGAAAATCCTCCCGAGCCGCCGCGCACCTGGAGCCCGGGCCGCGGGCGGGGCCTGGGCAGACCCGCCGGGCCGGGAGCATCCCCCACCCGCCCCCCGGAACGGACTCGCGGGACTCTCCAGGCCTCCAGGCTTCACTCCTGCCCCTCCCGGATCGCACAGACTTGGGAGCAGGGGGCGGGGGGGGGGGGCACCGCTCAGCCAGCCGCGCCCCTGTCTGCAGGGACCCCGAGGGTCGCGGATGCCTCGGGCACTCCCACACTCTCCCAGGCCCAGGTGCCAGGGCATCTCCCCCTGGTAGTTCTGCGCCCCCGCTAGGCGAAGCTTCCTCCTTAGGGAACCACTTTCTCAGGCTGAGCCTGTGGCCCCAAAAGTGGAAAGGAGAGGGCGGCGGGGACAGGGGCTTCGGGTACCTCGGCAACGTGGCAGAGGGACCGGTGTGTGTGTCGGGGGAGTAACACCCGGCAATGCACGGGGGTTACTCCTGGCTTATGCACTCAGGAATTACTCCTGGCAGTGCTCCGGTGACCATATGGGATGCTGGGAATCGAACCCGGGGTTGGCCGGGTGCAAACCAGAGGCCCTACCCACTGTGCTATCACTCCAGCCACGAAATATATATATATATTTTTTTTTTAAAGTGTGAAGGAAGGTCCAGAAGGTCCATTTGCCAAAGGCTCATGTGCCACACTTTCCCTCTAATACAAACACTTCCCAAGTGTGACAGTAACACACACACACACACACACACACACACACACACACACACACACAAGCTCTGTAGAGTCCAGTGTATTGTATCTGCCTCCTCTGAGGGGCTGGGAGACCTTTGCAGGCACTAAAGGAGCTGAGACTTTGATCTCAGCACAGTTCACAAACACATAGTGGGTGCTCTGTAAATGCCAAGAAATTGATGATATTGTGTCTACAGGTAAATTCCGGTTTTATAGCCTAAAGACATAGAAATTAGTTTTTTTTTGGGGGGGGGTGTTTACTTGCTATTCCAGGCCCTCAAACCCAAGTGGTTATTGATTTAAAGATAACATTAAATCTATTGGATTTAAAGGCAACACCAAATCCCTTTACTATGTGTGGTCAGAGGGGCTCAAGGGATGGCCCCCTGGGAAAAAGTGTCCCTTGTCAAGAGTCGGGCTGATTAGTTCAGTCTCCGGGTGCTCCTACAGGACTAGGGCCGTCTGTTTCCTGTGACTCTGCTGTCTGGGATTCCCCACCCCACCACATCACCCCAGAGTTTGGCAATTCCCAACGTCAGTGAGCCCCTTTACTAAAAGCCCCCAAACTAAAACTTCATCCCCATTCGCATACCCTCCACTAAAAAAAAAAAATTAAAAGCTAATTTACTAGGTAACAAAAGGAGTAAAATAAATCTGTGATCCCCGTCACATCCCAGACTCCCCACAGCCTTAGCCTCCCACAGCAGCACCAGCCTTGCTCTGCGCCCTCCTCTGACTTCTCCTCTTACTCACACTCGAGGGCGCAGGTGAGAACACTCTCACACAAGACGCAAAGCATCCTAGCTCTGCCTCTGCTTCCAGGGAACTGGATCCGCGACGGAGTATTTTAAAAATTAATGTAAGTAGGAAAAGTGATATGCTTGATAACCTTTCAGTATTTGTATTGCAAGCCATAACGTCCAAAAGGAGAGAGAGAGAGAGAGAGAGAGAGAGAGAGAGAGAAAGAGAGGTGCCTGTCATAGAGGTGGGGGATGGGGTTGGAAGGTAACTGGGGACATTGATAGTGGGAAATATACAGGTAATGTAAAGGGACAGGTGTTGGTACATAGTACGATGAAAGCCAATCATGAACAACTTTGTAACTGTGTTTCTCATGGTGATTCAAAAAAATGTAAATAAGTTAACAAAAAATATGATGTGATTGTTGAAATTAAAAACTCAAAGCGGGGGGCTGGAGTGATAGCACAGACGGTAGGGCATTTGCTTTGCATGCGGCCAACCCAGATTTGATTCTGAGCATCCCATATGGTCCCCCGAGCATGGCCAGGAGTAATTCCTGAGTGCATGAACCAGGAATAACCCCTGTGCATCGCTGGATGTGCCCCCCCCAAAAAAGGAGCCAAAAAAAAAAAAACCTCAAAGGGGCCCTTCAATTCAAGATAGCAGAGCAAACCCATGCGTTTGACTAAGATCCCACAGGAAATCCAAAAGCAATTGATTTTCTTTTGGATCACACAAGAACAAGGAAACAAGAAAGAAAAAATAAAAGACCTTTGGACACTGGACAGCAGGTAAAAGAAGTGATAATTGATTTGACAGATCTCAGAAAGTATGGGCCCGAGCGATAGGACAGTAGTTATGGTGCTTATCTCACACATCACAGACCTGAGATTGATCTTCATCATCCTATATGATCTCCTGAGCCTGCCAGGAATAATTCCTGAGAGCAGAGCAAGGAGGAATCCTTGAGCATCACCAGTATTGACCCAAAAAGCCAAAGGGAGGGGCTGGAGTGATAGCACAGCGGGTAGGGCGTTCACCTTGCACACGGCCGGACCTAGGTTCCATTCCCAGCATCCCATATGGTCCCCCGAGCACGGCCAGGAGTAATTCCTTAGTGCATGAACCAGGAGTAACCCCTGTGCATCGCTGGGTGTGACCCAAAAAGCAAAAAACAAAACAAAACAAAACAAAAAAAACCAGGGAAATCTAAATAAATAAATAAAAGTGAGCCAGGAGTAGAGGAAGAAAAGAAGGATATGTTCTTGCTTTGTGCGTGGTCAAACTCAGGGTTTGATCCCTGAGAACCATGAGGAGTGCTCCCAAACAATAAATAAAACCGAAAATAAAATAAATATTTAAAAAAGGCCACCTAGGGGCTGGAGAGATAGCACAGCGGGTAGGGCGTTTGCCTTGCTCGCGGCCGACCCGGGTTCGATTCCCAGCATCCCATATGGTCCCCCGAGCACAGCCAGGAGTAATTCCTGAATGCAGAGCCAGGAGTAAGCCCTGTGCATCGCCGGGTGTGACCCAAAAAGCAAAAAAAAAAAAAAAAAAAAAGAGAAAAAAGGCCACCTAGATCTCATAGTTTTATGAATCTGAATTTGCTTTCTTATTTGTTTTCTTGCTCTGGGGGCTGGAGGAAGTTTGGGCTGGTGGTGCTCAGGGCTTACTTTAGTGAGACTCAGGAAGCTAGAGGTGCCAAGTGCAAGAACTGTAACCCAGGGCCTCACACATGCAAGATAAGTGCTCTATATGCCACATACCTGGCTCTTAACTCTATGTTGTAGTGACAGCAGGTTACAGACTTGTGAATGGTGACACCTTAGAAATGATTCTATCATTGTTCAGTCTCCCGGTGGACAAATGAGAGTTGCTGAAAGAAAACTACTTTGCTGAGCCCAGCAAACCACTAGAATCATGAGGAATTAGTTGCTGCTGTTTCATACCACAAAATTAGGGGTGCTTTTAAAGTGCAATCGAGGGGCTGGAACAACAGCACAGCAGGTAGGGCGTTTGCCTTGTACACGGCAAACCCAGGTTCGATTCCCAGCATCCCATGTGGTCCACTGAGCACCGGCAGGAGTGATTCCTGAGTGTATGAGCCAGGAGTAACTCCTGTGCATTGCCGGGTGTGACCCAAAAATGAAAAAAAAAAGTGCAATCGATAACGCAGAATGCTTCCAGATTTAACGCAGACTCCCGAGTCTCCCTTCCTGACAGTTGCTGAGCATCCACTGACAGCAGAGAGGAGGCTTTCCCCTGAGTGACAATGTCTCTCTTATCCTGAATTTCAGCAGGTGGCCAGGCCACTGCCCACCTGGCCCACGGCCGGGAAGAAGACAAGGCCAGGGGCCAGGTAACCTTCAGCTTTCTGGCACAAAGGCTTTGCAGTACACTGAGAAGAGCCTCTTAGGGTTGCATTGCTTGCCAGATGGCTCGCTCCAGCGTCCTTTCAGGCGGCTGGAAGTTTACCAGTTCTCCAGCCTCAGAGATGAAAAGAAGACTCGAACGCCATCCAAAGAGACAGGCTGGGAGCCAAGGAGGATTAGCTCATCCTGTTTGGGAACAAATGAGAAGTGTGGACAAAACTTTTAACATTTGAGAATGAATAAGCATTAAAAAGTATTTGAAATGATGGGGGAAAATTTAGAACACAGAAAAATATATAGAGTACCAAAGAAGAGGAAGAAATATTTAAAAGTTTTACAATATGAAGCAGAAGTAAAGTATAAACTGCCTCTGTTATGTCATTGATAGGTGAAAAAGACCCAAACCAAAAAGAACCTGGAATAATATTGTTAACAAGGTAGAACTAATAATTAATGCCCTTGAATCCATTTTCTTTTTTTCCCTTTGTTTTTTATTTTTGTTTTGGGGGCCATACCTGGCTATGCTCAGAGGTTGTTCCTGGTGCTGCACTCAGGAATTACTCCTAGCGGAGCTCGGGGAACTATATGAGATGCCAGGGATCGAACCTGGATTGGTCCTGCGCAAAGCAAATGCCCTATCTTCTGTATATTGTTCTGTCCCCCACCTAGAATCCATTTTCTATAGAGAAAGCGCTTTCCTTTCTTTTCAATTATCTACTGGACACTGAGAAACTGAGAAAGTATTTATTTGCCAAGAAAATTCATTTAATCTCAAAATAAAAATAGGCTTTGAATTTCTACTGACTCTCTGGTCACCTTAAAAAATCACTTATCTTTTTTCTACCAAAATCTTCTCATGTGTACAGTAATGGAGATAATACTACCTATGTCATAGATGCTATTCTATAAGGATTAAGTGAGGTCCAATAAGTAAGGTATTTTAAAGACCTCTTAGCCTACTAAAGCTTTATAAAACTGTTGTCTATTTTTCAGTCACTGTCGCTGTCACTGTCCTCCCATTGTTCATCGATTTGCTCGAGCGGGCCCAGTAACATCTCCATTGGAGACTTTGTTGTTACTGTGCTTGGCATATCGAATACATCACGGGTAGCTTGCCAGGCTCTGCCTTG